AGTAACATTGTAAGACTTGTCATAAGCATGTATGAGACCCTTAAAGGAGTAGTCCAGCCAAATGACAAATTAAACATATTTGTTTCCTTATTGACAGCAGTCTATGGGACAAGGAGAGATTGCTATCCATTTTTACATTTACATTTTAGTCATTTAGCAGACGCTCTTATCCAGAGCGACTTACAGTTAGTGAGTACATACATTTTTCATACTGGCCCCCCGTGGGAAACGAACCCACAACCCTAGCGTTGCAAGCGCCATGCTCTACCAACTGAGCTACACGGGACTGTGTTTTTTAAAAACTTTGTCACTGCCAGTAATATTAGTATTTTCTAACCAAAAGTCAATGTTCCCCAAAGTACCATCCTTTAGATTCCATGTTCCAAATAATCTCAAGCGAACTTCAAACCAAGTACTTGAGCAACCCTTTCAGAGACTTTGAAATTATTTGGGCATGAAATACAGGCCCTGTAGAAAATATACACTGAGTGTACAAAACATTAGAAACACATTTCTAATTATTGAGTTGCACCCCCTTTTGCCCTCAGAACAGCCTCAATTCATTGGGGCATGGACTCTACAAGGTGTCGAAAGCGTTCCACAGGGATGTTGGTCCATGTTGACTCCAATGCGTCCCACAGTTGTGTCAAGTTGGCTGGGTGTCCTGTGAGTGGTGGACCGTTCTTGATACAGATGGAAAACTGTTGAGTGTGGAAAAACCCAGCAGCTTTGCAGTTCTTGACACAAACCGGTGTGCCTGGCACCTACTACCATACCCCATTCAAAGGCTCTTAAACCTTTTGTCTTGCCCATTCACCCTCTGAATGGCACACACAATCCATGTCTCAATTGTCTCAAGGCTTAAACATTCCTTCTTTAACCTGTCTCCTCACCTTCATCTACACTGATTGAAGTGGATTTAACAGGTGACATCAATAAGGGATCATAGCTTTCACCTGGATTCACCTGGTCAGTCTATGTCACGGAAAGATCAGGTGTTCCTAATGTTTTGATTATTGTCTACAGTTTGGTTATGTACGCTCATCTCCACCAGGGTGTAGTATTGTTCTGTGTTATGAAATAGTAGGTTTTCTCTCCAGACCAGGGTTGTTCAGCACTGTTCGACAGTACCCATCAAATAACAACAGAAAATGATATAGAGTTTTATATAAATATTTATTGCAGGTCTAGGGGGGAGCTATGTATGTACATGCGATTACAACAGAATACAATATAAATGTACTAAATAAATATTCCCGTGTGGATCCAACAGCTTGTAACCAAGCGTTATAGCACGAAGACGACAGTGGTACAAGTTCACTTAACAAACAGGTTTTAACTGAGCAGCATTCGCTAAGAGCAGTGAGACGTTGGGCCAATAGGTTTGCTGTCATGCAGAAGTCACTGTAGCATTCCTGTAGTGCAGTGCTTCTCAATTATTTTCTGTTACGCCCCCCCTAGGAAGAAGTAAACATTTCGCGCCCCCCAACTCTCCGCCGCAACTGTAAATAGTATAATTTGTCTATAAAATTGTTATAAGTACACCTCTACATAACATTGTATCCTTATTAACATTAAAGAAAAAAAGAAAAAAGAAAAATATAGATCAACTTACAACAAAGAATAACTTTATTAACATTGTTTTTTAGTCTGTAACAGAAAATACTAAAAGTGCATAAATTTGCCTGAAATTAAAAAAAAAATTCAAACCTTATTTAAACTGTAAACATTTTTTGACCATTTGATACTGAAAAATAAAATGTAATATAATCAATAAATAATAATACATTCAAATTGATCAGCAACATTAACTCAGGAGCACAATATATGAAACACTTTGACCTATAAAACAAAAATGAATAAAACAATTTGTGCTGATTTATTATTATTTTTTAAATCAAAATGAGGAAGTCAGGATTAATGGCTACAATGAGCACGTTTTGCAGTGCACAGCTTTTCGAAGCGGGGTTTGAAGCATGATACTGCAATTCTCAGCTCCTGCTCAATGTTTAGCTGGGACCTGTACTTGGTCTTCAGTGCAGCAACAGCAGAGAAGCCAGTCTCACAAAGATAAGATGTTGCAAAAGGAAGAAGAATGCCCCATGGCCCTCTGCCCTATGAGTGGATACTGCCTCTCTACACTCAGCCAGAATTCACTCAGTGTCTGTGATGTGAACCTCAGTCTCAATGTGGAGTCAGACGTCATATCAATGAACTGGTCCTCCTCTGCAGAGCTGAAACCAGTTGGAGCTGGTGCATTGAAAGGATCTCTCACCAGTCATATTGGGAACTGTTTTCAGGGAAGTACTTTTTAAAGAATCCCATCAGTGATGAAATATGTTCCTTAATATATGGAATCACTGAGGTGGCATCATAGTCAGTAGTGTCAACAAATTCATGCAGGTTCTCGAATGAATCAGTATTTCCTTCATCAAGTCGCCTGCCCCACATTGCAAGCTTTCGAGTGAAAGAGCTGATCTTGTCTGTGACCTGAGGGAGGTGTTTATCTTTCCCTTGAAGCTGTAGATTTAGTTCATTTAGCTTTCCAAATGTGTCACTCAGGTGGGCCAGTTTTGCCAGGAAGTTCTCATCACTAAATTTTTCTGCGAGGTCATACTTGTGCTCCTGCTCCGAAAACATTCTTATCTGCTCTCTGAGCTCAAAAACACGGGACAAGACTTTTCCTCGTGACAGCCACCTTGCTTCTCTGTGAAACAGCACAGCTTGATGTTCAGCTCTCATCTCCTCACAGATAGCAGAGAAGACTCTTGTTTTTAGTGGTCTGGTCTTTATAAAATTGACTACACCTACAATGTCAGTCATAACCTCACTTAATTCAGAGAAAAGGTGCCTTGATGCCAGTGCTTCTCTGTGTATAACACAGTGTGTCCACTCAGCATTAAGTGAGGCCTTCTTGATGAGTGCCCGAAGTCCTTTTCTCATCCCTGCCGTGGTCTGTGCACCATCACTGCAAACACCAATGCAGTTCTCCCACTTTAGCCCATTCTCAGTCAGGAAGCAGTCCAGCATTTTGAATAGCTCTTCAGCTGTGGCTCTGTCTCTGACATATTTACGAAAAAGTAGATCCTCACACAGGGAGTTTGTCATGTCAAAACGTACATAAGCGATAAACAAACAGTCTTTGTTGCTGTCAGTTGCTTCATCGAACTGTAAGGCAAAACGTTTGTCTTTGAGTTTATCTACCAGCTGTTCTTTAAGATCGTTAGCAATGTCATTTATACGTCTGGCGACAGTGTCATTGGACAGAGGGATATGATGCTAACAGTGCTCGCTGGTTTACTGAAGTAGCATTCACAAAGCGGGACGATTGTTTGCAATTTCCGGCACGTTTTCGCTGAAAACTCAAGCGGCTTATCAGCGTGATTGGGGTGTAATGTCTTTAAGTGACGCCTTAATTTATTTGGCTTCATGCTGTCCGCTGCCAACATTTTTAGACACAGTAAACATACCGGTCTTTCCTCGTCTCCCACCGTAGTCACAGTGAAGCCAAGCGCTACATACGCTTCATCATATTTCCTCGTCTTAGCTTTCGGGAGACTTACGTTTGTCTCAGTATCTCCGTCTCTCCCGCCTTTCTTTTCATTCCTGTTGAATATTTTTCCATGGTGTCTCCTAAGGGTTTGTTATCTGCACTTCATATCTCCTGCTCTGTGCTGTGTGCTCTTGTTCGGTGCAAAAAAACCCTACTCCCTGCGGCAAAAAAAAGCATGTTCCCCGGGGTCACACGCGCCCCCCCCGGCATCGCTCCGAGCCCCCCCAGGGGGGCGCGCCCCACTATTTGAGAAGGACTGCTGTAGTGTAACTGGATCCAGCAGAATTGTGTTACGAATTAGCTGGGTTTTATTCACCAGGAAACCAACTGGAGGAAAACAGACTGAAACAGGGCGGGACCAAGCTGAACTTGTCCGATAAGAAATGTTTATTTCCGTTGCAAAAGTTTTCCATTACAAAACGCGGTGTGCACTATTAAAATTATGTGACGCATTTACGTTTGGGAGAACTTTGAATTTACATTTCGTTATAATAGGCAAGATCAAGTATTACACCTTCATTACCAAACGCTGTAGCATTTTGGATGTAAGTTGATTAATTGGCACAAAGCAATTTTTGGAAGTGCTTTGCCACATGCTATAGCAGTTTTACAAAACGTATACATCAAAGATAAACTTCAGTTTGTTTTTGTACAGACATAAAGCATGTTTGACTGAAAGGAGACCAAATACAGGTGAGACACTGTTCCTTCAGGGGGTGTAGCCTCATGATGCTACACAAGTGGTAGCGAATGTATGTAAGGTGCACCTATGTAGCTATTTCTCCTGCTCAACACTTCAAATTCACATCCTTTGTATAATCTATAAGGCCCCAGAATTAACGGTATAATTATCTGTGCACTGTGCTTCATATGGAAGTTACATTATACACTTCCAGATGACCAGCACTCTGAAATACTCGGCCCACTACTTGACAAGAATGACCCAGGTGCAGGATTCAGACGAAAGAGAACTCCAGTCTAGCATAATGGAACAGGTGACAATATCATCAATTAGTTGTTTACAAAAATGGGCTGGTTAAAATCAGTCCCACGTTCTCGTACAAACCAGTCTAAATCCGATTGTTGTCTAATTAATTCAGTGTAAATTCCCTCACGGCAGTAAGGATGTATTTAATGTATTGAAGAGTGTGACAAAACGCGCACAAATGCAAACTGAGCAAATGTACAAGCAAATAGTGCCGACTAAACATTTCTCTACATTGCGGATAAAGTGACTTTAAGCTGCATAATTGCACAACTAACAACACAACTTTGTAATTCAACAAATACTTTGTTTGGAATGCTTTAACAGACCGTAGTGTCATGTTTTTCTTTTGACATAACCACAGGGCAACTTGTGCAAAAAAGGTTTTCTCCACCCTTATCTTTAAAACCCAGTTTGCTTTTGAGCCGTGAATACAAAACATATAGTCTATCATTTTGATTATCATGCACTTTTCTCTGACCCATTGTCTTCAAAATCCCAGGGGCAAACGTCAACCCTTTTAGCAGTGCTTACGGGTTGTTTGTAATTAGAACTCAGAGAGTTGTTTTCTTTCGCTGGAGAAGTCTGTGCTACGCTGGCATGTGCGTCCTCTACCTCCCACGGGCACGCCTCCGCCCTCTTGATCTCCGACGCCTCCGGGTCTCTCATCGAGCTCCTCCGTCTCCCGGATGTTGGCACGGTGACCGGACCACCCTCTGATGACTGGCTGACACGTCGTCTCTCCGAGGGCCTGCTGGAGGAGCTCTCCTTGCTCTTTGACCTGTGCTGCTTCTCTTCCTCCCTGTCCCTTCCTCCTTTCTCTCTCTCACCCCTCTCTCCCCTTTCTTTGGAGGAGCACGAGCCTTTTCGTTTCCGCTTGGAGTGAGGGGTGGGGCTGGAGCAGGTCTTCTCCTGGCTGGGGGAGGGCGGGGCTGGGGCTTCATTGTAGTCCCAGGGACAGATGTCCACCATCAGGGTGGGCGGCTGTAGCAGACTCCCCGTGGATTTGGAGTAGTCTGAGTGGAGGATCTTGGGCTTCCCATCAGTGGGTGTGACGCTCTTCTTATGTCTGATCCTCTCTGGGGAGATGGAATCTGAATCGCCTCCCAACACTGGCTGCTCCTCAAAGGCCCAGGGGCACACCTCCGGTTTGAGTGGGAGCGGAGATCTGGGAGACCTGGGCTTCCTTGTTTCTCTGGCCTCATCTCGTTCACCCCCCTTGTCTTTGGAGCGCTGTCGGCCTGCAGGCGATTGCCCCGCGGCCCTCTGCTGCTTCTGTTGGGAGCGACTGCCCTTGGTGCTAACCGTGCCACCACAACCACCACCACCACCACCATCAACCCTGTGGACCGTGGTGGTCTCTCCTGGAGCAATGGACACATGCTTCTGGGACCTTCCTTCTGAGGGGGTTGGGGGGTCCTCCACATCCCAAGAGCACACCTCAGAGAGGTCATACAGGTTTCTCCCCGGCTCTGTATTGATGGACGGCTGGCTGCCACTCACCTGCTGCTTCATGATGCCCATCTTGGCCATGGGCGTCCTGGAGTACTCTACCGACTGGCTGATGATCATCTTAGGATAACACTCCATCTCGTCCACCTCAGACAGCATCCTCCCATCGCGCCCCTTGAGTCCCTTCTTGCTGGCATCCTCCACACTATTGGTCTTGTTGGTGAGCCCAGGCATCTTCTCTTTGGCACTGGTGATGACACTCAGCGACTTCTGCATGATGGACGTCCTCAGCTGAATGGGCTTTTTGTCCACTGTGAAGTTGTGCGCGCTGGCCGACTTGCAGACCAAGGGTACTGACTCGGCCAGTTCCACCTTTGGGGCAGGCTCTGGTGACTTCTTAACCTGCCTCCTAATGAGAGATCCCAGCAAGGAACCCTCGCCGGTGGCCATTTTGTCCCCACCAGAGCCCACTCCGCCGGCAGTTTCCTCAGCTTGGTCACAAACGTGGTCGTAGCTGTGTGACTTCTTCAGGCCCAGAACCTTGTTCTTCAGAGAGTCTTCCCTGGACTTGTGACCTGAGTGGGACGAGTCGAAGGGGTTCCGTCGAAGGGTGCTGCGGTTGCTCCCGTGCTCGCTACCGACACGTTCCTCGCGGCTGCCATAGCTGCCATGCCGGTGCAAGGTCTCTGGGATCTCAGTGATGCGCCTCATGAGAGAGCGGCCCAGGCCTTTCTTGGAGCTACGCTTCTTCTGCAGGTGTGGGTTGTTGGCCAGCATCTTCTTGCGCTTGTAGACCTCCAGTTGGGCGTAAAGCTTCTTGAGCTCGTCCTACAATGGTGACAGAGGGATGGGTTGGGAGAGATAGAGAGAAGGAAGTGGATGAGAAAACATATTGCTTGTTCAATGCGAGTTTTTTGTTGTTGTTGCTCTAGAGACATATTCTGACATCATAGACACTAAACTAACCATGGTCCATTTCCTTGACAGACTAGAACGTTGCCACAAGGTAGCGACTTCCCACAGGGTTCAGTGTTGGGGCCAATCCTGTTTTTAATCTACATGCTCTCACTCACCCAACTCCTCAGACATTACAACATCAACTTTCACTGCTTTGCTGATACTCAAGTATACATCAAAACCAAACCGGACACCATCGCCATTTTATCAAATCTAGACAGCTGCATATTTATTTGTAATGAAAAGCGCTATACAAATTACATTTGTATCACAAATTATTTACAATTCCAAATGTTCCCAAACAAAACAGCAAATGGGTGCTTCATCTAACCAGTCTCTACACTGTAAGGTGAAAATCTTGCCGCCGTACTGGATGGCAGCCGTTTTGCAAGCCGACCCAACTTAGCTATTTTGTTTGATTCTTTTGTCATTTATTTAACTTTATTTTCTCTAAATGTGTCCGATATAATTTCTTACAACCGACAATAACTTTTTAAACATCAGATCAGCAGTTACTTACCACAATTCATGCTTCAACTTTGACTCATCTGCCCTGGACTCTTTCTGTAATTCCGACCCAATTTTCAGGCTACCCAAGAGGAAACGCCGACGTTACAAAGGCAAGAGAGGGGGGATCCTGGAGAGATTAGGGAGAAGGGAGGACCGGCCACCTCTTCCCTCCATTCTACTGGCCAATCACTTGATAATAAGATGGATGACCTCCGATCGCGGATTTGCTACCAACGGGACTCTCGAAACGGCAATATTCTCAGCTTTTCTGAAGCATGGCTCTCGGACAAGTAACCCCCATGGCTATCCAACTAGATGGATTCTCCATTCACCGGGCAGACAGGACAGTGAAGTCGGGGAAATTGAGGGGGGGGGGGGATGGGTTTGCCTCTTCATCAACAACCACTGGTGTGCTGACATGAGCGCGGTGGAAGTGTCAACCCATTGTTCACCCGTCTTGGAATACCTGATGGTCAAATGCCAACCCTTCTAACTCCCGAGGGAGTTTTCAGCTGTTATCGTGACTGTTGTATACATTCCACCTCAGGACAAGAAAAATAACAAGCTGGCACTTAACGAACTGTACGAGGCTATAAACAAGCAAGAGAACCTACACCCAGAGGCTGCTTTCCTTGTTGCCGTCGACTTAAATTCTGCGTCATTAAGACGTGATGCCCAACTTCCATCAACACATCTCCCTCTCCACTAGGGGCGATAAAGTCCTAGACCACTGTTATTCTACCCACAAGCAAACATACAAGGCCCTCCTTCGTCCGCCATTCGGCAAATCAGATCATGACTCCGTACTCCTGCTTCCTGTTTACAAGCAGAAGCTCAAACAGCAATTACCAGTGACTCGCTCCGTTGAGAAATGGTCTCCAGAATCACAGATGATGCTACAGGACTGCTTTGCTAGTGCCATCTAGAATATGTTTCGGGACTCCACCGATAACGTCGACGAGCTAACCACCTCCATCACCGGCTTCATTAGGAAATGCATCAGCGATATTGTCCCCACAGTTAATGTTCGCTACTTCCCCAATCAAAAGCCCTGGATGTGGCATGTGGCAGGGGCTACAGTCCATTACGGATTACAAATGAAGACACAGCCGTGATCTGCAATGGAGCAGGTTGAGAACTTCAAGTTCCTGTGTCCAAATCACTAAGAATTAAAATGGCCCACACACATGTGCACAGTCATGAAGAAGGCACGACAGCGCCTATTCCCCCACAGGAGGTTGAAAAGGTTTGGCATGGGCCCTCAAATGTCTACAGCTGTACCATTGAGAGCATCTTGACTGGCTGCATCACCGCTTGGTACGGCAATAGCACCGCCCTCGAACGCATGGCGCTACAGAGGGTGGCACGGACAGCCCAGTACATCACTGGGGCTGAGCTCCCTGCGCTCCCTGCCATCCAGGACCTCTATAAAGGTAGGCCCGGAAAATCGTTAGACTCCAACCACACAAGCCATAGGCTGTTCTCTCTGCCTCTGCACGGTAAGCGGTACCAGTGCATCAAATCTGACACAAACAGGCTCCTGAACAGTTTCTATCTCCATGCCATGAGACTGCTAAATAGCTACAGTTGGAAGTCTGGATCGGAAGTTTACATACACTTTAGCCAAATACATTTAAACTCAGTTTTTCACAATTCCTGACATTTAATCCTAGTAAAAATTCCTTGTTTTAGGTCAGTTAGGATCACCACTCAATTTTAAGAATGTGAAATGTCACAATAATAGTAGAGAGAATGATTTATTTAAGCTTTTATTTATTTCATCACATTCCCAGTAGGTCAGAAGTTTACATACACTCAATTAGTATTTGGTAGCATTGCCTTTAAATTGTTTAACTTGGGTCAAACGTTTCGGGTAGCCTTCCACAAGCTTCCCACAATAAGTTGGGTGAATTTTGGCCCATTCCTCCTGACAGAGCTGGTGTAACCGAGTCAGGTTTGTAGGCCTCCTTGCTCGCACACGCCTTTTCAGTTCTGCCCACAAATTGTCTATATTTTCTGGATTTTTTTTCTCATTTTGTCTGTCATAGTTGACGTGTACCTATGATTAAAATTACAGGCCTCTCTCATCTTTTTAAGTGGGAGAACTTGCACAATTGGTGGCTGACGAAATACTTTTTTCCCCCACTGTACACTGACTCTACACACACCCACTCACATACAATCGTCATATACGCTGCTGCTACTCTGTTTATCATATATCCTGATGCCTAGTCACCTTACCCCTATACATATCTACCTCTATCACTCCAGTATCCCTGCACATTGTAAATATGGTATTTGAACTGACCCTGTATATAGTATGCTTACTTACTTTATCGTGCTCTTCTTATTTTTATATCTTGTGTGTTTTTGTTCTACCTTGTTATTTTTAGTATTACATTGTTATTGATTACTGCATTGCTGGGGTTAGAGGTTGCAAGAAAGGCATTTCACTGTACTTGTGCACGTGACATGAAAACTTGAAACTTGAGTTGCCCTCCAACTTTGTGGTGCTTGTGATACTTGGAACAGGGCCGACTTAGCGCTGGGCTTGTGAGAGAGAAAGGTGAGGGAGAAGGTGGATCAGGAGGCTGTGGAAGTCTTTCACCCATTTAAAACTTTTAAAACTTTTACAAACCCCCCAAAAAACCTAATTAAGTTTACAGAACAGAGAAAGAAAGGGAGGGACCCTGCTCACCCGTATGTCCTCGGGGTCCAGGCTGTGTTCGCTCCAGGCTGAGGTGATGCTGCTGTTGAGGTAGGACCCGGAGCGGCCCATGTCCAGCTCCTCTTCATAGGCTTCAGTGGCAATGTCATCACTCGCCTGGATCCCTGTGGACAGACACTAACGAGAGGGGGAAACAGACAGATTGATATTTATTTAAAATGTTCTGGTGCACTTTTCCACAGCGCGTGTCTTTTGTGAGATGAAAATGTCGCCCACAGACAATATTGATGTTTTCTACTTCTGAGGTTTCTAACTAAGACTTGAGAAATGAACTGTTTATTCCCCACTCAGCGGGAGTGTTTAAATGTTCTCCACAGGACTGAAGAGATTAAATACCCAGAGGTTCAATTACAGTACGAAGCTGTTTAATGTACTGGTTATGTATTCAGTGAAAGGAGGGAGAGCAGGTTTACCTTTGGTACAAGCAGCAGCCCCAAAGTCACAGTCACGGTGAGGTGTGTGTGAGCGAAAACCAACATGAGCATCCAGTCAGGGTGCCACTGAGGAGCAAGAGTGAACCTGCAGATAAAGACCAACATGAGCATCCAGTCAGGGTGCCACTGAGGAGCGAGAGTGAACCTGCAGATAAAGACCAACATTTACATTTATATATTTTTTTTATACTGGTCCCCCGTGGGAATCAAACCCACAACCCTGGCGTTGCAAACGCCATGCTCTATCAACTGAGCTACATCCCTGCCGGCCATTCCCTCCCCAACGCTGGACGACGCTGGGCCAATTGTGCGTCGCCCATGAGCCTCCCGGTCGCGGCCGGCTGCGACAGAGCCTGGATTCAAACCAGGATCTCTAGTGGCACAGTTAGCACTGCGATGCAGTGCCTTAGACCACTGCGCCACTCAGATAAAGACCAACATGAGCATCCAGTCAGGGTGCCACTGAGGGGCGAGAGTGAACCTGCAGATAAAGACCAACAGGTTTTCTTCAGGACACTATTAGCTACAGTGAGGGGGAAAAAGTATTTAATCCCCTGCTAATTTTGTACGTTTGCCCACTGATAAAGAAATTATCAGTCTATCATTTTAATGGTAGGTTTATTTGAACAGTGAGAGACAGAATAACAACAAAAAAATCCAGAAAAACGCATGTCAAAAATGTTATAAATTGATTAGCATTTTAATGAGGGAAATAAATATTTGACCCCCTCTCAATCAGAAAGATTTCTGGCTCCCAGGTGTCTTTTATACAGGTAACGAGCTGAGATTAGGAGCACACTCTTAAAGGGAGTGCTCCTAATCTCAGCTTGTTACCTGTATAAAAGACACCTGTCCACAGAAGCAATCAATCAGATTCCAAACTCTCCACCATGGCCAATACCAAAGAGCTCTCCAAGGATGTCAGGGACAAGATTGTAGACCTACACAAGGCTGGAATGGGCTACAAGACCATCGCCAAGCAGCTTGGTGAGAAGGTGACAACAGTTGGTGCGATTATTTGCAAATGGAAGAAACACAAAATAACTGTCAATCTCCCTCGGCCTGGGGCTCCATGCAAGATCTCACCTCGTGGATTTGCAATGTTCATGAGAACGGTGAGGAATCAGCCCAGAACTACACGGGAGGATCTTGTCAATGATCTCAAGGCAGCTGGGACCATAGTCACCAAGAAAACAATTGGTAACACACTACGCCGTGAAGGACTGAAATCCTGCAGCGCCCGCAAGGTCCCCCTGTTCAAGAAAGCACATATACAGGCCCGTCTGAAGTTTGCCAATGAACATCTGAATGATTCAGAGGAGAACTGGGTGAAACTGTTGTGGTCAGATGAGACCAAAATCGAGCTCTTTGGCATCAACTCAACTCGCCGTGTTTGGAGGAGGAGGAATGCTGCCTATGACCCCAAGAACACCATCCCCACCGTCAAACATGGAGGTGGAAACATTATGCTTTGGGGGTGTTTTTCTGCTAAGGGGACAGGACAACTTCACCGCATCAAAGGGATGATGGACGGGGCCATGTACTGTCAAATCTTGGGTGAGAACCTCCTTCCCACAGCCAGGGCATTAAAAATGGGTTGTGGATGGGTATTCCGGCATGACAATGACCCAAAACACACGGCCAAGGCAACAAAGGAGTGGCTCAAGAAGAAGCACATTAAGGTCCTGGAGTGGCCTAGCCAGTCTCCAGACCTTAATCCCATAGAAAATCTGTGGAGGGAGCTGAAGTTTCGAGTTGCCAAACGTCAGCCTTGAAACCTTAATGACTTGGAGAAGATCTGCAAAGAGGAGTGGGACAAAATCCCTCCTGAGATGTGTTAAAACCTGGTGGCCAACTACAAGAAACGTCTGACCTCTGTGATTGCCAACAAGGTTTTTGCCACCAAGTACTAAGTCATGTTTTGCAGAGGGGTTCAAATACTTATTTCCCTCATTAAAATGCAAATCAATTCATAACATTTTTGAGATGCGTTTTTCTGGATTTTTTTAATTGTTATTCTGTCTCTCACTGTTCAAATAAACCTACCATTAAAATTATAGACTGATCATGTCTTTGTCAGTGGGCAAACGTACAAAATCAGCAGGGGATCAAATACTTTTTCCCCCCTCACTGTATGTGTAACAGAGTGCATTATATTCTGCCCCAAGCAGGGCTGGAACTCACAACCTTCTGCACAACAACACGCCACTCAAAAGCCAACTGTCTTAGCCAACAGAGAAAGAGACTCTGTGAGCAACAGTTGGCTTTTAGATCTCAGGTTAGGTGATGCGACCGGATGTACTCCAGTCAACATTCTACAGATGAGTTTCACATCCACTACATAAAGATCTTCACTATCTGACATGAGTAGCCAGGGGGCTCAGGGACAAAGAGCACTGGCTTCTACCCTCCCTACGAAGACGTAAGACTGGACTTGATCCTTTTTCTTTGGAGCTTATGGATTTATCTTTCTTTTACAATACGTCTTTCTATTCCGTTGATCTCCCTGACTCAATGGGTTTTGGTCACTGAGTATCGGTCATTGGTTCAATTCTCGGAAAGAGTAGAAGCCTACTTGAATAGGAGAGGGATGCAAATATCCATGATTTGCATGAAGCCAAAAATGGTGTGGAAAACCAAAAGCACCAGGATGTACTCAAATTAAAAACAGTGCTTTGCATAGCATAGATAAAGGTCTGGCTAGGTACAGCAGGCTGTACACACCAGGATATGAATCATGAAAGAGTTTAATTGTGTACAAAAGGATGATATACTGGCAAGTAACGTGACGGATGCACAGAGGGGGTGAGAGAGACGCAGAGAGAACTTCAAATCCAACAGCGGACAGAAGACAGATGATTGAATGAAGCCTCCACCACTAACCATGCAGTGGAGTCTATCTCTCTGCTCTTTAATAGGAGTTGTGTCATTAGCCCAGATGAGCAGTACCTCAACAGTAAACGTTGCGTTACAAGGAGTGGCCACTCAGTCATCACTGTATGGTACGGATATTAATAATGTGAAAGCTTCTAATGCCATTGATGGGAGCAAAAACCCAAATGCCGACCTAGGATCCTGCACCCACACGGAGTTGGAGGCCAACCCCTGGTGGAGCGTGAACCTGCTGGATGTGTACAAAGTGACTGCTGTTGTCATCACCAACAGAAACAGCAATCCTGAGAGGCTCAATGGTGCAGAGATCCGTATTGGTAATTCACTGGAGAACAATGGCAACAACAACAGCATATGTACAGTCATCTCCAACATCACAGCAGGAAATAACGAGACCTTCCAGTGTAAAGAGATGGAGGGACACTATGTCAATGTGATCATCCATGGCACTGGAAAAATTCTCACTCTGTGTGAGGTGGAGGTATATGGCAGTCTAGCAGGATACTGTTCATCTGCAACATGCCTCCCTCATGACGAGTATCACTTTGTGAACCAAAATAAGAATTGGACTGAAGCACAGAGTTACTGCAGAAATAACTACACTGACCTGGCCACCATAGACAACGTGGAGGACTTGGCCAGACAGATGATGACTGTACACAGTGGTTATACTGAAGCAGCCTGGATAGGGTTAAAGAAGGGAGAGTGGCAGTGGTCAGAGAATGATTGCAGTGAGAGATATTTCAACTGGCTCCAAGACGAACCAAATAACGGGAGAGGGAACGAGGACTGTGTGATGATGAGCAACGGTGGTCAATGGAATAAATCCAATTGCAACAATTTACATGTGTTTATCTGCTATGACAGGCTGAACAGTTCTGGTAAGACATTCCACTTGATTAATAATACTCTGATGACTTGGAGAGATGCTCAGATGTACTGTAGGGAGCATCACACAGACCTGGCCAGTGTGAGGAACCAGACTGAGAATGAGGAGATATGTAGACTGGCTAATGGTCACTGTGTGTGGATCGGCTTGTTCAGAAGCTCCTGGAAGTGGTCGGACCAGAGTAACTCCTCATTCAGAAACTGGCATGAGGGACAACCCAATAACGTCGGAGGGAATCAGACTTGTGCTGTGACATTGATGAACTATTCAGGGCGTTGGGGTTTTCGGAAGTGTGATAAAGAACGACCTTTCTTCTGTTACTACAGTGAGTGGCCCTCTCCTCTGTTCATGGCATCTCTAATGTTGCTGAGTTATGGAGAAAACTACAGCTACACGTCTGAACGTGTTATAACAGCCTTTCTCACACCTCTCCTCAGGGACACCTAGACAGTTCAACTATGTTGTTATAGCCCTTAACTAGCTCACCTGATTCACCTATTCAAGGGCTTGATGATTAGTTGACAGGTTGAATCAGGGGTGCTAGATCTAGAATAAATCAAATGCATGGTATGGCTGGGATCCCAGAGTGAAGGTTTGAAAAAAGGCTCGTTTTTTTTTTTTCTCAGATAAGGCGATCCTGATTCATCAGAAGAAGACGTGGAAAGATGCCCTGGCCTACTGCAGAGAGCACCACAACGACCTGGTCTCTGCCCACTCTGAGGAGATCCAGAGATGGGTGGAGGCCAGGGCCAAGAGGTCCTCCACTCCTCATGTGTGGCTGGGCCTGCGCTACACCTGCACCTTGAACATCTGGTTCTGGGTCAGTGGAGAGGCCACCTGCTACCACAACTGGGCTCCGGGAAACGGGACCGTCATGGAGGACTGTGGGAAAACCAGAGCGGGGAGAACCGGGGCGGTAGAGAAAGATGGACGTCACCAGTGGGTCAGTCTGCCTGACACCGAGAAGCTCAACTTCATCTGCAGCACCTCTAACTAACAGGTAGTAGAACCTGGACCCAGCTCTAGCACGGTGGCTTTCCCAGACACAGACTTGGCCTGGACCTGGACGTAAAAGCAGAGAAGAATCTCTATTGAGAATGCTTCTTAGTCCAGGTCTAGGCCAAATCTGTGTCTGGGAAACCGGCCCTCAGTCTTCAGATCCAGATCTTTTCATTCATAGAACTTTCTAGGAGCATGTTGCTGTCGTAGCTTTTTGAAAAAGAAAAGCCTCCCACTCTAGGAGCTCAGACGCAATAATTTAATAACCAAAGTTTGGTCAGACCAGCTGTCTTCATCAGGGTATAATGACAAACACTGCGGGTCACTAGTTTATATAGTGTCAAAGGACACACGCAGGTGTCTGTAATCATGGCCGGGTGTGGCCTGATAGCATTGGTTGCTTTACAGATATAAATAGAACATACGATCATAGATACGATTGGTTACACAGGCCTACAAACATTTACAATGGATAGCAAAAACACAAGAATGGCTTCAAATCAAAGTCTACGTTGAGATCGAAGGGAGCAAGGGTCTTCAAATGAAAGATCCAGGCAGCCTCTCGTTTTAACAATCAATTGTCAAGATCGTAACTTTACCACTTTTTGTTTGACATTATATTGTATTGTGTGTGACTTAATAATGATTAGATTTGATAGATTATGTTTAAGGAAAAAATCTTTGTTTTATCTTTGAGTTTGGTTATTTACATCCTTTTCACATATTTGGTCCAAACGTTTTATTCGTCTTTTAATCACATATAGGCCTCACTCATAAAATGGATGATCGTTGTTGATGTTGTTCTTTTAGTGTCAGTAGTAATGCTGTGTGAGTATGTGATGTTGGATGGTGGTTTAAATGTCATATTTTGATGCTGTTTTGAACTATTTATTTTTTGTTTAAGGGATTGTTTTACTATTATTGATTCATCGCCAATGTGGCTAAAAAAAAAATATATATATATATATACTGTATATATTTGTCAAGTTGCTGTGTAATAAAAATAAATAAAAAACTTCTGTGGGCGTGGTTTATATAGCTAGATAGCTACTCTACTGGTGCCAAAATGTGACTGTAGGGTGTCAGCAAATATAATTAAAAGTTTACCCTATTCATCTATGGCAAAGATATGTTTCCCCTTTCATCTGGTGTTAACTAGTTACTGGCTAGCTGGGTCTTCAGCCAGCCAGCATGCAACAAAGGGGGGGGGGGGGTTGTTCAAAACTCCAACGCAGTTGTCAAGTCAACATATCCGTCAGTGCTGCTGTGAACCGCGTCACAAGAGAAATGCCAAACGGGAGATAGATTTAAAAATATATATATATATATATATATATCACTGATGCAATTTCAATGTTTCAGTTGCTTTGTGTATCACCAGATTTGCTTGAGATGATTTTATTGCAAAACTGTTCACTGCACCCAAGTTGCTTGACATAGGCGTTTCAACGAGCATGAATATAAGCTCCCTGCTCACTCAGCCTGTCTTTTCAAACTTCCTGGTAGTTAGTCGTGTGAGAAAATAAATACTTTTCAGAATGACAGTTCAGGACCTTTAAAACTTCTTAACTATAAAATGTGATGCTTAGCTTATATTGTATCCACTTTGTTTCCCCTGAATAATTTCAATAAAATCATTCAAAAAAAGATCTAGAATCAAAATGAGAATGGAAGAATGTGATCATATCGAATACTCTGAGTATATCAAACATTAGGAACACTGCAAAACACCGCAACAAAAACTATTTATCACGACAAAGTCCCATTAAAGTTGCTGTGTGGAGAGGATGACTAAAGTGTGGTCTATGAAAAATGTATTAGCGTCAAACTTCAAACCTTCAAACGAGGCAGGTGAATTTACAAGGAAGGGTTGGGCTCTTTCATATCCTCGACTAATTCAATTGGGATCCCGATGCTGAGGGATGGCAGTCAAGGTCCCAGGGAGGTCGCTGTCCCAGCACCCCTCTGTCAACTGCTCCCCAGATAATGAGATTCAACCTCATTAAATCACATTAGTCATCCCAAAGGGTGTTTTTGGCACGGGTTTGAAAAGAAACATCACGACTCTCTCCCTCCCTCCCTCAGACAAACTCAGCCAGCCCTTATCTCTGGGCTCCAGCAGTCTGGCTGTTCTCTGATGCCTCTGACACAGTTCTTTTGGGTGTTGGATGTAATTCCAGCCGGGGAGAATCACCTGATTTATAAAAAGTTTGGTCTGTGATTCATCCAAGACATTCATGAGGGTGTTGTTCAGAATTTTCTATTTGAGGGACAGATGAAAAGTATCCGACATTTCATTTTCTCCAGTCGCTGTCGGCTTTTTCAATGTAGACATTTTCAATCACGGCTGGTCCGTTATTGGGTGAGGCATGCCAACATGTTGATATGAAACCTTTTCAAGTACAACCCGGGGGTTAGATTGATGGCGATCCCATCTTGCTGGTTTGTTCCGGCAGACATAAGAATGGCAATAGACTCTCTGGACGTGTTTATGGTCATAATGGACGTACGCCAACCTCATTTTCTTTCAATGTAAAAGGTATTCACTGGCGCCACCTGGTGGTGATGAGCTTAAGCACTACAGACAAGTTCTACATGCAGCTTTGTGATGAATGTTCTAGGTGCCATTTTACATACTGGACACATGCTGAGTGATAACTTGTACATTGAGGGAATGACTACTACAAACAAAAACAGCACACACACTTGTAGTTTTCCTGGTGGTCAAATGAGGAGGAGGCTCATCAAGCCAGTGTCAGCTCCTCCAGCAGATAACAGTTACATACAGGGCATAAGGAGTTTATTTTAAGCCTTGGCAGAGTTATGCACCGTCTGCCTGATGCAGGCATATTTTATTCACCTCCTTTCAAGTGGCTGTTGGAGTTGTCCTGCTGACACTATTCATTTGCTTGATGGGTGGGAGCGCTCTACTCTGCCTTTTAACTGGGGATGTTCTGCTCCTGTTATTCTCCTGGCTGTATCTGTTCTTGATTATAAACTATAAAAGGCATATACAGCTCTCTCTCTCTCTCTCTCTCTCTCTCTCTCTCTCTCTCTCTCTCTCTCCCTCTCTCATACTTAGTAAAAGTCTACTCTCCGGCACAGTTTTCACATTCAATTAGATGTTTCCCCTACAGATCTACACAACCTACTCAACCTTTTAAAAGTGAAAGAAAATTGTAGAAAATGTTCCAAATTAATAAAAAAAAAAATAAAAACAAAGATGTCTTCACACCCCAGAGATAATACTTGTTGGAAGCACTGTTGGCAGCCATTAGAGCTGTGGAAATTTTTAATAAGATTCTAACTTTGCACAAGTCTTAAGGCAACATATATTCATAGTTTTTGTCAAAATTGTTCAAGCTCAGTAAATTTGGTTGGTAGTCATTGATGGACAGCTACCCACTGGGCACAGACGTCAGTTCAACGTATAGTTTTGATTTACATTTGGTTGAGTTGTCAACTAATGTGAATTCAACGTGAAATCAACAAAACATTTCACCATGTCATTGGATTTAGGTTAAAAGTTGGGTTGAAAAAAATATGAAATTCCCTTACATTGATTACTTTTTGCAAATCCAATCAGTTTTCCACATTGACTCAACGTCATCACATATACTTTTTGTCGTTGAAATGACCTGGAAACAACGTTTTTTTCCCATTGGGAATATTCAAACCTTGTCTCTAAATGTTCAAGCAGATTTAAGTCAGGACTGAGACTGGACTTTTCAGGAACACTCACCACTTCTTGGTGGATGAAATGAAAAACAGCTTCTATCTCAAGGCCATCAGACTGTTAAATAGCCATCACTAGCACATTAGAGGCTGCTGCTGCCTATTGAAATCACTGGCCACTTTAAGAAATGGAACACTAGTCACTTTAATAATGTTTACATATCTTGCACTACTCATCTCATATGTATATACTGTATTCTATACTATTCTACTGTATCTTAGTCCAATGCCGCTCTGTCATTGCTTGTCCATATTTTTATATATTCTTAATTCCATTCCTTACTTAGATTTGTGTGTATTGGGTATATGTTGTGAAATTGTTAGATATTACTTGTTAGATATTACTGCACTGTCGGAGCTAGAAGCACAAGCATTTCACTACACCCGCAATAACATCTGCTAAACACGTGTATGTGACAAATACATTTGATTTGATTTGATTTGAAAGCCACGCTGGTGTGTCTTTGGCATTAAAATGTGTTTAATTGTCTCGCTGAAAAATACAACCCTATCCCAGGGTTTTCAGAAGACTACGGTAAGTTTCCCTCTAACTTTTTACCATCAATGACTCCCAACCAAATGTACTGAACTTTAAGCAATTTTGATCAAAACAATACAGTGCATTCGGAAAGTATTCAGACCCCTGGACTTTTTCCACATCTTGTTACGTTACAGCCTTATTCTAAAATTGATTAAATAAATGTTTTTCCTCATCAATCTACACACAATACCCCATAATGACAAAGTGAAAACAGGTTTTTAGAAATGTTTGCTAATTTATTAAAAATAAAAACCAGAAATACATAAGTATTCCGACCCTTTGCTATGAGACTCGAAATTGAGCTCAGGTGCATCCTGTATCCATTGATCATCCTTGAGATGTTTCTACTACTTGATTGGAGTCCACCTGTGGTAAATTCAATTGATTGGACATGATTTGGAAAGGTACATACCTGTCTATATTAGGTCCCACAGTTGACAGTGCATGTCAGAGCAAAAAACAAGCCATGAGGTCAAAGGAATTGTCCATAGAGCTCCGAGACAGGATTGTGTTGAGGCACAGATCTGGGGAAGGGTACCAAAAAATTTCTGCAGCATTGAAGGCCCCCAAGAACACAGTGGCCTCCATCATTAATAAATGGAAGAAGTTTGGAACCACCAAGACTATTCCTAGAGCTGGCCGCCCGGCCAAACTGAGCAATTGGGGTGAGAAGGGCCTTGGTCAGGGAGGTGACCAAGAACCTGATGGTCACTCTGACAGAGCTTCAGAGTTCCTCTGTGGAGATGGGAGAACCTTCCAGAAGGACAACCATCTCTGCAGCACTCCACCAATCAGGTCTTTATGGTAGAGTGGCCAGACGGAAGCCACTTCTCAGTAAAAGGCACATGACAGCCTGCTTGGAGTTTGCCAAAAGGCACCTAAAGGACTCTCAGACCATGAGAAACAAGATTCTCTGGTCTGATAAAACCAAGATTGAACTTTTTGGCCTGAATGCCAAGCGTCACGTCTGGAGGAAACCAGGCACCGCTCATTACCTGGCCAATACCATCCCTACGGTGAAGCATGGAGGTGGCAGCATCACGCTGTGGGGATGTTTTCAGCTGAAGGGACTGGGAGACTAGTCAGGATCGATGGAAAGATGAACGGAGCAAAGTACAGAGAGGTCCTTGATGAAAACCTGCTCCAGAGCGCTCAGGACCTCAGACTGGGGCGAAGGTTCACCTTCCAACAGGACAATGACCTTATGCACACAGCTAAGACAACGCAGGACTGGATTCGGGACAAGTCTCTGAATGTCCTTGAGAGGCCCAGCCAGAGCCCAGACTTGAACCCGATCGAACATCTCTGGAGAGACCTGAAAATAGCTGTGCAGCAACGCTCCCCATCCAACCTAACAGAGCTTGAGAGGATCTGCAGAGAAGAATGGGAGAACCAAATACAGGTGTGCCAAGCTTGTAGCGTCATACCCAAGAAGACTCAAGGCTGTAATCACTGCCAAAGGTGCTTCAATAAAGTACTGAGTAAAGGATCTGAATACTTATGTCATATTTCAGTTTTTTTATTTTTTATAAATTTGCAAACATTTCTAAAAACCTGGTTTTGCTTTTGTCATTATGGGGTCTTGTGTGTAGATTGATGAGGGAAAAAACGATTTAATCCATTTTAGAATAAGGCTGTAACGTAACAAAAATGTGGAAAAAGTGAAGGGGTCTGAAAATGTGCCCTAAGTGTTGTGTAAGGTTGGTAGAATCTTACTCAAAATGAATCACAGCTGTAACGACTGCCAAAGGTGCTTCCATCAAGAATTAACTCGGGGATGTGAAGACATACGCAATCAAGACATCATCATTTTACATTTGTATTAATTAGGACATTTTTCTATAAATTTTCTTTAACTTTAAAAATGTAGTAGTGTAGATCGGTAGGGGGAAAATAATTGAATGTAAGATCGTTAGATTACATTTTAAGGCAGCTAAATGTGAAGACTGTGCAAGGGGTGTGTAGACTTTTACTAGCGACCGTATTACTTACCTAATGATGTGGAATACTGCCGATATGAGGAGTTCATTGTATATGGCAACAGTCATGTAGCGTGGTTCATGGAAGGCTGATGGTACGGTCCGGACAGCATAGCAGAGGTACACTCCCCACAGAAGAAACAGGAACTCGGCTAGATAAGGAGAGGTCCACAATACAGGTGGGTTAGACCAATGTCCTTAACTCTAAATGTCCTTAACTCTCACAAACAAATAGCAGAGTTGCAGTATATACTGTCCACAACGCACAATGATTGCTCACTCAAATTATATTCTGGAAGTTCTGCATTATTTACGACAACCATTGTTGCTTTGGTATGTACAATTCAAGGGTGTCCTCATGTCGCCTTCAAAGAATATGCAGTGCGCACTCCGGGAGAGGGAACTGCTTTGCGGAAACGTTGGTTGTTGGGTTTGCCCATTGGATTGTTGGGAGCATGGATGCAGTTTTCTCTCCGTTGGTCAGCACCTCCGCAAACATTTTTGGGTGTGCGTCAGCTCATGCTTTTTTCTAGACCCTTCAAAGAATATGAAAGAAGATTTCACACTTGTTGACAAAGTATCCTATTGCTATGATCATCGAGTGCATTGTGTTCATCTAAAAACCGCCTCAATTCCTTCTCATTTTTTAAATTTAAATTGTCAAAGAATTCATTTGCCATAGATCTACAAAGGGAAATATACAGGCCTCACATCACTAATCTCCACTCACACACAATTCACTGGGGAAAAAGTGGCCAAATGTACAGCCCTCAGCCTGTCTTTTGATGCACAAAGTGTTGATGGCTGCACATCATGTAGTTACTAGCCACTGACATTTGCTAATCCCTTTCTGCCAACATTGATTTCCCACAGCTTGACTGCAAGCCCACTGCCTTGTTGACAGATCTCCTGCTGACTGCCAGCCCACTGCCTTGTTGACAGATCTCCTGACTGCCAGCCCACTGCCTTGTTGACAGATCTCCTGCTGACTGCCAGCCCACTGCCTTGTTGACAGATCTCCTGACTGCCAGTCCACTGCCTTGTTGACAGATCTCCTGACTGCCAGCCCACTGCCTTGTTGACAGATCTCCTGACTGCCAGCCCACTGCCTTGTTGACAGATCTCCTGACTGCCAGTCCACTGCCTTCTTGACAGATCTCCTGCTGACTGCCAGCCCACTGCCTTGTTGACAGATCTCCTGCTGGAGAGGGATCCTCTCTAGTGTTCCAAGGTCGCTGGCGATTAGCAGACTGTAAGGCAGTCCAAGTCTCTCATCTCTCCTTTATTCAGAACTGTTCTCAGAACTGCTCTCTGTTGCCTGACTTAGTGTTATTTGGGAGCGCAAAACTGTGACACTAATTTACATTCCTTTTCTAAAAACTGTTCTCAGTAGTCCGTGTCTCTCGTCTCTCCTTTATTCTACGTTCTCAGAAATGGGTCATGTTCATTCGACACCAAATGGAAGAAAACGTACTGAAACAGGGAGGGACTACTTGGACTTGTCTGATATGATTTTCTGTTGCAAAACTGCACGCCCTAATGAATACGACCCAGTTTTCAGAACTGTCGACTGTCTGACTCACTGTTATTCGGGAACCTATAACGTTGACCCTAATTTACATTCCTTTTCCAATAACATTTCTCTAAACTGTAAGGCAGTCTCTCATGTTTCCTTTATTCTAAGTTCTCAGAACTGTTCTCCATTGTCTGACTCACTGTTAGTTGGGAGCCCATAACATTTAGCCTAATTTACATTCCTTCAATAATTAACACCAAAGACAACCTGGGAATCATGTCGGATTACAGATGATCATTTGTAAATAGTGATTAGAGTGTATTATTATTCATGAAAATTCATAAATCATGATGACTTATTATAAGCTACTTAGTATTTAACCAGTATGCATGGTGAGCTGTTTGTAAATGCTGATGGGAGGGATAATTCATTTCCTATTAATTTGAACACTTTTTTTTATTAACTCATAAATAATTCATATAATTATTATTGTATGTTCTCTTTTTAAATTGTTTTGCTGTACAGCACCTGAAACCTGATAGCACCTTAGATGGGTGGATATCGCCCTTCAACCCACTCCCTCCGATACCCCGCACCGCAGACCGACCTCTCCACCATTTATATTTACAGGCACACTAGCTGTCTCTGCCTTCCCTGCGAAGATGCACACTGTTCTTATCAAATCAAATCAAATCAAATGTTATTAGTCACATGCGCCGAATACAACAGACCTTACAGTGAAATGCTTACTTACAAGCCCTTAAACAACAATGCAGTTTTTAAGAAAATAAAAAATTGAAAATAATAGAAGAAAAACTTTACATTTCTGTGTCACCAGAGGATTTTAGCTCCATGGATAAATTATTAGACTGTGGTGATTTAAATACTTGGATGGCTCACAACTTCCTCCAGCTAAATCAAGACAAGACCGAGGTACTTCTTGTTGGAGCCAAAGCACAGAGAGAGAGAATCTGGCCGCACATTTTAATTAACGTCAATAAAGATAAAACACCAGGTTAAAAACCTATGTGTCATTTTGATTCTGAACTAATTTATGTGCTCCCTGAAGTTGAGCTGGAGTTGCATGGCAAATGGTCCAGGAACAAAGGACAATGCCAAAGCACCAGTCAGCCCTTCCCTCTCTGAGGGGCTAAAATGTATCTCTGCTATAGTATCCAGAGGATTGACTATAGAATGAGTGATAGAATAATGGTATAGTATCCATGTCTGGTATCTATCTGAAACTTGTTCACTGAGGATAACTCTGACGCTATCTATATGGATGTACGATCTCTATGCAAAAAGGTTTTATGGTCCTCTCAGGAATTCTGCCTTATTTACATCGGTCTCATCCCCCACACAAGCCTTTAGATGCTGTGACACCCTGTGGAGATTGGGCCTGGGTGTGTCTAGGTTACTGTAAACTTGGTATCGTTTGATTGGTCAATGGTGGTTGGTTTTTGGGTTGAAAGGTTACACCTTCAGTTGTTAGAAATGGAATGAAAAGCCTTTATTCTCTCTTCTCCTGTATCCAGTCCATGGAGGAAGGTTGTATGATCTCTCTCTTCTCCTGTATCCAGTCCATGGAGGAAGGTTGTATGATCTCTCTCTTCTCCTGTATCCAGTCCATGGAGGAAGGTTGTATGATCTCTCTCTTCTCCTGTATCCAGTCCATGGAGGAAGGTTGTATGATCAATCTCATATCCTAGGCTTCTAGAACTCTGGCCTAGTAAGCAACTCTTTGTTCATGCTTTTTCCTGTAATTTAACCTTAGGATCTATATGCTTGGAATAATGTCTTGTAATGCTTGTTAATGCTCGTAACTTAAGCTCTATGCCTTGTATGTGAATCCATTCATTGTACAATGTTAACGAAATATTTGCCTCTGATATAGACATTTCCCAGACCAATTCTTGCTAGTCAACGTCATCTCATTGCCTAATGCTTGCTTGTATATTTGAATTATCTTTACGGAGTCAGATAAACATTCTAAATAGGCTAATTGCTTAGTCTTTTTACGAGTGACACGTGAGGTATTTATAATATCATATATGATAAAAATGACTGTCCACTACACCCTCAGGTCCTCTGGCACTGGCCATTTAACTTTCCCAAAGCCTGGGACCAAGAGGCATGGAGAGGCAGCCTTTAGTTACTATGGAATAGCCTGCCAGAGAACCTGAGGGGGGCCGAAACTGTGGACATATTTAAAAGAGATCTTAAAAACACACCTTTTTAGCATTGCTTTCTTTTCCTTAGGGTGCTTATTAGTTCTTCAGTTTTTATTCCTTCGTTTTTAATTGTCTTGTGTTTGTTGTCTAGTAAATATTTCACTTTTCATTTTCATTGTTTTTTATCAGTTTTTCCGTTAAGCACACTGCGTTGCATTCCATGTCTGAAATCTGCTGTATAAATAAAGCTTGATTTGATCATTTCAATCAGTTTCTGGCTTTAACGATGTAATTTCAACCAGTTTTGCCCACTGGGTATTGACTAAGGGCCCACACTTGCGTCACAACTCACCGACTGCCATCATGTAGTCCCAGCGGTCCAGTAGGCACATGCTGAACTGCAGCCCGTCGGGGACGAGGCCCACATCGATGAGGGCCGACGTCCGGTCAGGTGTCTGACACACGGCCGAGGTCCAGGCCACCAGGAACCACAGCACCACCAGCAGGATGACCCCCAGCAGACGCAGCACCCGCCAGCTGGTGATGTAGTGGGTCCGCTGGGCCGTACGGGACAGGAACACCTTCAGCACCCTGGAGGAGGGAAGAGACAGAAGGGTTGTTGCTGTTAACAAAATCCCAGCTGGCAAAATTTGGCACGTGACGTCTAATAGTGTCATTTTAGGGTTTTATGGTTCTCGTTGAGAAGACGCCATATAACCAGATTACCACCAACTGGTGTCTGTTACAACCAGATTACAACCAACTGGTGTCTGTTATAACCAGATTACAACCAACTGGTGACTGTTACAACCAGATTACAACCAACTGGTGTCTTTTACAACCAGATTACAACCAACTGGTGTCTGTTACAACCAGATTACAACCAACTGGTGTCTGTTATAACAGGATTATAACCAACTGGTGTCTGTTATAACATGATTACAACCAATTGGTGTCTGTTACAACCAGATTACAACCAACTGGTGTCTGTTACAACCAGATTACAACCAACTGGTGTCTGTTATAACATGATTACAACCAACTGGTGTCTGTTACAACCAGATTACAACCAACTGGTGTCTTTTACAACCAGATTACAACCAACTGGTGTCTGTTACAACCAGATTACAACCAACTGGTGTCTGTTATAACATGATTACAACCAATTGGTGTCTGTTACAACATGATTACAACCAACTGGTGTCTTTTACAACCAGATTACAACTAATTGGTCTCAATTATAACCAGATTACAACCAACTGAACTTTGTTATAACCAGATTACAACCAACTGGTCTCTGTTATTTTTTGTTATTTATTTCACCTTTATTTAACCAGGTAAACCAGTTGAGAACAAGTTCTCATTTACAACTGCAACCTGGCCAAGATAAAGTTTACAACCAACTGGTGTCTGTTACAACCAGATTACAACCAACTGGTCTCTGTTACAACCAGATTACAACCAACTGGTCTATGTTACAACCAGATTACAACCAACTGTTCTCTGTTACAACCAGGTAAAGAAATCTGTTTCATTAAATTATCAAGACATCTACTGCTAATCATCACTATCAATATTATTTATTATGTAACTGACACAACTAACACTCCTTTACTGCAACCACTTTCTATCTGCTACCACTGCTAGCATTCATTACACTGCATTATTCCTTCTACTACTGCTAGCATTCATTACACTGCATTATTCCTTCTACCACTGCTAACATTCATTACACTGCATTATTCCTTCTACCACTGCTAGCATTCATTACACTGCATTATTCCTTTACATGCTAGCATTAATTACACTGCATTATTCCTTCTACCACTGCTAGCATTCATTATACTGCATTATTCCTTCTACCACTGCTAACATTCATTACACTGCATTATTCCTTCTACTACTGCTAGCATTCATTATACTGCATTATTCCTTCTACCACTGCTAACATTCATTACACTGCATTATTCCTTCTACTACTGCTAGCATTCATTATACTGCATTATTCCTTCTACCACTACTAACATTCATTACACTGCATTATTCCTTCTACTACTGCTAGCATTCATTATACTGCATTATTCCTTCTACCACTGCTAACATTCATTACACTGCATTATTCCTTCTACTACTGCTAGCATTCATTACACTGCATTATTCCTTCTACCACTGCTAGAATTCATTATACTGCATTATTCCTTCTACCACTGCTAACATTCATTATACTGCATTATTCATTCTACCACTGCTAGCATTCATTGCACTGCATTATTCCTTCTACCACTGCTAGCATTCATTATACTGCATTATTCCTTCTACCACTGCTAGCATTAATTATACTGCATTATTCCTTCTACCACTGCTAGCATTCATTACACTGCATTATTCCTTCTACCACTGCTAGCATTCATTACACTATATTATTCCTTCTACTACTGCTAGGATTCATTACACTGCATTATTCCTTCTACCACTGCTAGCATTCATTACACTGCATTATTCCTTCTACCACTGCTAGCATTCATTACACTGCATTATTCCTTCTACTACTGCTAGGATTCATTACACTGCATTATTCCTTCTACCACTGCTAGCATTCATTACACTGCATTATTCCTTCTATTACTGCTAACATTCATTACACTGCATTATTCCTTCTACTACTGCTAGCATTCATTACACTGCATTATTCCTTCTACCACTGCTAGCATTCATTATACTGCATTATTCGTTCTACCACTACTAACATTCATTATACTGCATTATTCCTTCTACCACTGCTAGCATTCATTACACTGCATTATTCCTTCTACCACTGCTAGCATTCATTATACTGCATTATTCCTTCTACCACTGCTAGCATTAATTATACTGCATTATTCCTTCTACCACTCTTAGCATTCATTACACTGCATTATTCCTTCTACTACTGCTAACATTCATTACACTGCATTATTCCTTCTACTACTGCTAGCATTCATTACACTGCATTATTCCTTCTACCACTGCTAGCATTCATTACACTGCATTATTCCTTCTACCACTGCTAGCATTCATTACACTGCATTATTCCTTCTACTACTGCTAGCATTCATTACACTGCATTATTCCTTCTACTACTTCTAGCATTCATTACACTGCATTATTCCTTCTACCACTGCTAGCATTCATTATACTGCATTATTCCTTCTACTACTGCCAGCATTCATTACACTGCATTATTCCTTCTACCACTGCTAGCATTCATTACACCGCATTATTCCTTCTACCACTGCTACTGTAGCATTCCTTGCACTGCATTATTCCTTCTACTACTGCTAGCATTCATTACACTGCATTATTCCTTCTACTAATGCTAGCATTCATTACACTGCATTATTCCTTCTACTACTGCTAGCATTCATCACACTGCATTATTCATTCTACTACTGCTAGCATTCATTACACTGCATTATTCCTTCTACCATTGCTAGCATTCATTACACTGCATTATTCCTTCTATCACTGCTACTGTAGCATTCATTACACTGCATTATTCCTTCTATCACTGCTACTGTAGCATTCATTACACTGCATTATTCCTTCTATTACTGCTAGCATTCATTACACTGCATTATTCCTTCTACCACTGCTAACATTCATTACACTGCATTATTCCTTCTACTACTGCTAACATTCATTATACTGCATTATTCCTTCTACTACTGCCAGCATTCATTACACTGCATTATTCCTTCTACTACTGCTAGGATTCATTACACTGCATTATTCCTTCTACCACTGCTAACCTTCATTACACTGCATTATTCCGTCTACCACTGCTAGCATTCATTACACTGCATTATTCCTTCTACTACTGCTAACATTCATTATACTGCATTATTCCTTCTACTACTGCCAGCATTCATTACACTGCATTATTCCTTCTACCACTGCTAACGTTCATTATAATGCATTATTCCTTCTACTACTGCTAGCATTCATTATACTGCATTATTCCTTCTACTACTGCCAGCATTCATTACACTGCATTATTCCTTCTATTACTGCTAGCATTCATTACACTGCATTATTCCTTCTACCACTGCTAACATTCATTACACTGCATTATTCCGTCTACCACTGCTAGCATTCATTACACTGCATTATTCCTTCTACTACTGCTAACATTCATTATACTGCATTATTCCTTCTACTACTGCCAGCATTCATTACACTGCATTATTCCTTCTACCACTGCTAACGTTCATTATAATGCACTATTCCTTCTACCACTGCTACTGTAGCATTAATTTCACTGCATTATTCCTTCTACCACTGCAACTTCCATCAGTGTTACGGCTTCAGTTGCTACTTCTCCTATACTACTGCTGCAACACCCTTGCAAGAACTAGCAACAGTGTGTTCCTTCTGAAGTGTGGGCTAGATTAGCATAGCTATATAAGGAGCTATTTCAACCTCTGGGGTCTCTGAGGGATCGACCATGATTGATCCCGCCTCATCTTTGATATCTGTGTGGGATTCTCCTATATTGAACTGACACTGATGTTAGGTTTCAAGCCCACCACACCACGAGGAACTTAAATTGTAATTTTGTCAGGGGAAGTAGCAGGCTGCCCTTTGGTCCCTTCTTTTCTGCACTGCACTCAAAACTATATTGACTGAAGTGGGAGTGGACAATACACACACTCTGTGAAGTGTAAAAAAGGGCAACATGAAGGCCAAGTCATTCCCAGAGGAGAGTGGAGAAAACTCTATGCTACGGTAGGTAGATCTGTGTGATTGAGAATGTAAAAGTGCTACCTATGCCACTGTCCTCTCGCTTTGACTACTAAGGAGCAAAATAGAACGACGGCAAACCAGGACCAATCCTGAGAGGAACCTGGATATTGGAGGGTGCTGTACAGGGCAAACTCATCAAAGAGCATCATTGGGAAAAATCGTTGGGAGAAAAGACTCAAAAGTTCTAGGCAGTACACTGCAGAAGTTCTCTCATTTGGCCAAATCACATTTTATTTGTCACACGCGCCGAATAAAACTGGTGTAGACTTTACCGTGAAATTCTTGTTTACGAGCCCTTCCCAACAATGGAGTTAACAATTTTAAAATAAAACAGTAACACAAGAGTAATACAATTAAATACAGAAGAATGGAACTACTGTCACGGTCGTCGAGGAGTGAAGGAGACCAAGGCGCAGCGTGTGAAACGAACATGGTACTTTATTTAGTTAAAGCACAAAAAACAAGAAACACGACTAGTGAAGTCCACAGTCAACCTGACTGAAAACGGAAACAATAACCCACAATGCCCACAGGAAAACATGCAGTATAAATATGGCTCCCAATCAGAGATAACGAGCCGACAGCTGACACTCGTTACCTCCGATTGGGAGTCAATGACCAAACCTAGAAATAAACGTGACAGAAATGCAAACATAGAAAATCACCCAAAACCCAACAAAACACAATACACCCTGGCTCAAATACAAAAGTCCCGGAGCCAGAGTGTTACAGTACCCCCCCCTAAAGGTGCGCACTCCGGGCGCACCAGCATACAGTCTCGGGGAGGGTCTGGGTGGGCGTCTGTCCACGGTGGCGGTTCTGGCCCTGGTCGTGGTCCCCACCCCACCTTAGTCACCACCCGCTTCCCTAGCCTCCTCCACATGACCACCCCCCAATTAAACCCCACTGGATTAAGGGGCGGCACCGGACTAAGGGACAGTACCTGACTAAGGGGCGGATCCTGGCTGGCTGGCTCTGGCGGATCCTGGCTGGACGGCTCATGGCAGGCTGAAGGATCTGGCTGCTCATGGCTGGCTGACGGATCTGGCTGCTCATGGCTGGCTGACGGATCTGGCTGCTCATGGCTGGCCGACGGATCTGGCTGCTCATGGCTGGCCGACGGATCTGGCTGCTCATGGCTGGCCGACGGATCTGGCTGCTCATGGCTGGCCGACGGATCTGGCTGCTCATGGCTGGCCGACGGATCTGGCTGCTCATGGCTGGCGGAAGGCTCTGGCTGATCCTGTCTGGCGGAAGGCTCTGGCTGATCCTGTCTGGCAGAAGGCTCTGGCTGATCCTGTCTGGCAGAAGGCTCTGGCTGATCCTGTCTGGCGGAAGGCTCTGGCTGATCCTGTCTGGCGGAAGGCTCTAGCGGCTCTGGTCTGGCGGACGGCTCTGATGGCTTATGGCAGACGGGCGGCTTTGCAGGCTTTAGGCAGACGGGCAGTTCAGGCCCCGTTGGGCAGACGGCAGACTCTGGCCGTCTGAGGCGCACCGTAGACTTAGTGCGGGTGGCCGGAACAGGCCGGACCGGGCTGGCGACGCGCACCGTAGTCTTGGTGCGGGTGGCAGGAACAGGCCGGGTCGGGCTGGCGACGCGCACCGTAGTCTTGGTGCGGGTGGCAGGAACAGGCCGGGTCGGGCTGGCGACGCGCACCGTAGTCTTGGTGCGGGTGGCAGGAACAGGCCGGACCGGGCTGGCGACGCGCACCGTAGACTTGGTGCGGGTGGCAGGAACAGGCCGGACCGGGCTGGCGACGCACACCGTAGACCTGGTGCGGGTGGCAGGAACAGGCCGGACCGGGCTGTGGAGACGGATAGGAGGCCTGGAGCGAACAGCGGACACCACCCGTCCTGGCTGAATGCCTACCCTCACACACTCTGTGTGAGGCATCCGCACAGGACATACAGGGCGGTGTACCCCTGGCCTGGTGGCCTCCTGGATACTCCCCCTTTTCTCCTCCGTCAGCCCTGTCGTCCATGCCGTGTGCCCCCCCCTAAACATTTTCTGGGGTTGACACACGACCCTCCGACGATGGCCCTGCTGCCGCCGTTGCTCCTCTCTCGCCAGGGCCTTGATCCTTCCCCAAGGTCCCTTGCCTCCGAGCATGTCCTCCCAGGACCACGATGTGCCCACCTGGGCCATCGCCAGCCTCTCCATCTCCTTGCCCGGTGCCTCCTCCCATGTCCAGTCTCTCTGCTCCTGGACACGCTGCTTGGTCTTTCTTTGGTGGGTTATTCTGTCACGGTCGTCGAGGAGTGAAGGAGACCAAGGCGCAGCGTGTGAAACGAACATGGTACTTTATTTAGTTAAAGCACAAAAAACAAGAAACACGACTAGTGAAGTCCACAGTCAACCTGACTGAAAACGGAAACAATAACCCACAATGCCCACAGGAAAACATGCAGTATAAATATGGCTCCCAATCAGAGATAACGAGCCGACAGCTGACACTCGTTACCTCCGATTGGGAGTCAATGACCAAACCTAGAAATAAACGTGACAGAAATGCAAACATAGAAAATCACCCAAAACCCAACAAAACACAATACACCCTGGCTCAAATACAAAAGTCCCGGAGCCAGAGTGTTACAACTACAGTATATGTGGAGCTATATACAGGGAGTACCAGTACCAGATCAATGTGGAGCTATATACAGGGAGTACCAGTACCAGATCAATGTGGAGCTATATACAGGGAGCACCAGATCAATGTGGAGCTAAATACAGGAAGTACCAGATCAATGTGGAGCTATATACAGGGAGTACCAGTACCATATTATGGGATTGATTCCTGCATGATACAGCTGGGGTGTATTCACTAGGAACCAAACGGGCCGAAAAACAGAGAGGGACCTACCCGAATATGCAGTTGTTTTGCTACGGTGTGTAGTAATGAATATACCCCACGTGAAAGACCTCTACTAGAAAGTAGACCTGTACCAAACCTGTAAAGCTTCAGGATCACTGTTCCGTAGGCTGTGGCGAAGCCCAGGAGACGCACCCATCTCAGTAGGATACAGCGCAACACGCTGGGGTTGAAGTAGACTATCATCACCTAAAGAGAAGGGGAGATCCACATTACCGTCATTATACTCCACTTACCTTCTTTTTAAACAGAAGTAGTCCTACTTGTTTAGTATTGTTCCTGTTTATTAGACAGGGTAGTGAAACAGGAGGGAGTGTAGTCCCGTGTAGCTCAGTTGGTAGAGCATAGCCAGGGTTGTGGGTTCGATTCCCACGTGGGACCAGTAGAAAGAAAGTATTAAAAATGTATGCACTCACTAACTGTAAGTCGCTCTGGATAAGAGCGTCTGCTAAATGACTAAAATGTAAAACGCTAGAGCAGTGGGTTCAAACCCATGCTCACAGCGGTAGATAGTAAATGTGATCCAGAGGGTGGACCACCCTAGGCCACAACTTCACTTTATAACCGTAGGTTTATTTGACAATGCACATTTATCAAGTTTTTTGTAAAAGTGCCAGATTTTGTGCCAGACAGCTAATTTTGAACTGTAGTCCCTTCCTAGGCAGAGAGAAATAAACAACCCTGAGGCATCCCATTTCTCTTTCTGTCTTGCTGACAAAACTTCAGCTTTTGTTAATTGTCAAACCCAGTTGCAGGAGAACATTGGGTAAATATCTGACACAGGGCCAGGATGGCTGCCTCTCGTTTTCTGCATGTCGTCTAAACGGTGATCCACAGGCAGCGGCTTGGAAAATATCGCCCTGCCGTTCTTTCTGTGTGAAGTTCATTCTAGCCAGGATGGAGGCACCAGGTCATGCATGGTGAACTGAACCAAGGGTGTTTGCTTTCGGATTCTGTATGTTTACATACTCATTTCATGATAATATTCCAGCGGCTGCAGAATCGCAAATGTCCCATCTCACGCGACTAAAATAGATTTGTGTTATAAACCCCATACTGAATATGCAATGTATTGTGACAATTTGCACTGTTTGAGTTTAAACCTCAAGATGGAGAACCTTGTATTGTGAATTCAACCGCTATGAAATATGAACCATCTAACTATTATGTAAACCATGTAACTAGTATGTCAACCATTATAACTAGTATGTCAACCATCTAACTAGTATGTCAACCATGTAACTAGTATGTCAACCATGTAACTAGTATGTCAACCATGTAACTAGTATGTCAACCATTATAACTAGTATGTCAACCATGTAACTAGTATGTCAACCATGTAACTAGTATGTCAACCATGTAACTAGTATGTCAACCATGTAACTAGTATGTCAACCATCTAACTATTATGTAAACCATGTAACTAGTATGTCAACCATGTAACTAGTATGTCAACCATTATAACTAGTATGTCAACCATCTAACTTGTATGTCAACCATGTAACTAGTATGTCAACCATGTAACTAGTATGTCAACCATGTAACTAGTATGTCAACCATGTAACTAGTATGTCAACCATGTAACTAGTATGTCAACCATGTAACTAGTATGTCAACCATGTAACTAGTATGTCAACCATGTAACTAGTATGTCAACCATGTAACTAGTATGTCAACCATGTAACTAGTATGTCAACCATGTAACTAGTATGTCAACCATGTAACTAGTATGTCAACCATTATAACTAGTATGTCAACCATCTAACTAGTATGTCAACCATGTAACTAGTATGTCAACCATGTAACTAGTATGTCAACCATGTAACTAGTATGTCAACCATTATAACTAGTATGTCAACCATCTAACTTGTATGTCAACCATGTAACTAGTATGTCAACCATGTAACTAGTATGTCAACCATGTAACTAGTATGTCAACCATGTAACTAGTATGTCAACCATGTAACTAGTATGTCAACCATGTAACTAGTATGTCAACCATGTAACTAGTATGTCAACCATGTAACTAGTATGTCAAACCATGTAACTAGTATGTCAACCATGTAACTAGTATGTCAACCATTATAACTAGTATGTCAACCATCTAACTTGTATGTCAACCATGTAACTAGTATGTCAACCATGTAACTAGTATGTCAACCATGTAACTAGTATGTCAACCATGTAACTAGTATGTCAACCATGTAACTAGTATGTCAACCATGTAACTAGTATGTCAACCATGTAACTAGTATGTCAACCATGTAACTAGTATGTCAACCATGTAACTAGTATGTCAACCATGTAACTAGTATGTCAACCATCTAACTAGTATGTCAACCATGTAACTAGTATGTCAACCATGTAACTAGTATGTCAACCATGTAACTAGTATGTCAACCATGTAACTAGTATGTCAACCATGTAACTAGTATGTCAACCATGTAACTAGTATGTCAACCATGTAACTAGTATGTCAACCATGCAAGGGCTAGTTTACATATTTGAGAATGCTCGAGTTAAGCTGTTGTCCCAGACTAAACTGCTTTGCTGACTTTCAGCAAAATAACAAAAAGAACCAGGATTTGGACTATTCCACGATACTCACAACCTATATCCCTGCAAATAATTGGGATGGCCTTTCCAAAACTTTCGGGGGGCCAAATAAAACCACCCGTGGGCCAAATTCGTCCCGCTGGCCGCCAGTTGAGGAACCCTGCTCTATGGTATACCTTGCAATTTATCTACTTCCAAGTCCCATGGTGCAGTGTGGCAGTTTGAGAGATGGCAGGTAATCCTCTACAATTAAGCAGAGTGACAGACGCACCCACACCTATCCCATGAGGCGAGACGGCAGAACATCGGTCGCCGATCGGCAACCAGCCCGCTTAACTTGCAAACAGGGGAAACGTCTCTCCCTGGATGGGATGAAACAACGGCTCAGCGCCACACAATGCATGAAGCACATATCACACTTCCATGTTATGAGAGGAGGACTCATTTAGCTGCAGAATTCACTGGTAGAAAATATTGGTGATACTTTCGCTGACGGGTACCTGCGTAAGGACTTCATAACACATTAGTACCCCATACATACCACATTCATAAGCAGTACATGAGCACACTTTCATGACGATATGAGAGAGACTGATTTTTTAATGGTGGGAGGTTGGAAACATCTTGGTAAATCTTAACTTGAAGGGTACCTGCATAAGGACTTCATTACACATTAATAAGCCATACATAGGCCATTCATAAGCAGTACATAGGCCATTCATAAGCCATACATAAGCCATTCATAAGCCAACCATAGGCCATTCATAAGCCAACCATAGGCCATTCATAAGCCATACATAGGCCATTCATAAGTCATACATAAGCCATACATAGGCCATTCATAAGAAGCACAGGCTTTTCATAGATGCAACAACAGAAGTTGACCGCATTCTTAATCCTCTACCCAAAGTTTGTTATATCAAACACTGTTAATAGGAAATGTGTGCAAAGCTTTGAGTCACGCGTCTCTCATCTCGAAGAGACAGATCACGCGTCTTTCATCTTGCAGAGACAGATGTGATAGCCGAATAGGTACACCCACAGTCTAGGGATTTAAATACGCAGTGTAGGAAAGATCCACAGTTACTACTAGTATAACCTAACTGCAGCCACTTGTCATGGCTCATGGCCAGAAGCAAAGAAAGCAGCCCAGGACCGGCAGCTTTGGAGACCTTTAGTAACTTGATGTTCCTCCAGGAACCAAGAAGTAAGTAAGTAAGTATACCCTAACTGTCCAAGATGCATGTGTATGTAATACTAAGTATATATTTTCAGCATGGACTCTCAGTTTTCCTCCCATGAAAAACAAGGCTCCCGTTCATCACGACTGTAGATGTGATGGACGGAATCAGGGGAGGTCAGATGACATGAACCCCTGGCTGTCAGCTGGCCTTAAAACTGTGATTGGAAAAAGGTAAGAGTCTAACTCCTGTATGTCATACTGCCATGTTGGTGTCCTTCAATGTAACTTACATGTATTTTCCTTCATGTCGTATCTGGGGCTAGAGAGGGGAAAGTTTGGATTTTGATTGAGGAGCTAAAAATTAGGGAAGTGTTCTAAGTGTACTATATGCATGCACACACACACACACACACACACACACACACACACACACACACACACACACACACACACACTCACGCAACATCACGACAACCCTCTAATGACAACAATGGCCTTTATATTGTATACCCCCCCAACATAGTCAGAGCACTGCATGATCATTAGACTGGTCCTCTCACTGTACTGATGACCTCTTCTCCATAGACTGGCCCTCTCACTGTACTGATGACCTCTACTCCATAGACTAGCCCTCTCGCTGTACTGATGACCTCTTCTCCATAGACTGGCCCTCTCGCTGTACTGATGACCTCTTCTCCATAGACTGGCCCTCTCACTGTACTGATGACCTCTTCTCCATAGACTGGCCCTCTCGCTGTACTGATGACCTCTTCTCCATAGACTGGCCCTCTCGCTGTACTGATGACCTCTTCTCCATAGACTGGCCCTCTCACTGTACTGATGACCTCTACTCCATAGACTGGCCCTCTCACTGTACTGATGACCTCTTCTCCATAGACTGGCGCTCTCACTGTACTGATGACCTCTTCTCCATAGACTGGCCCTCTCACTGTACTGATGACCTCTTCTCCATAGACTGGTCCTCTCACTGTACTGATGACCTCTTCTCCATAGACTGGCCCTCTCACTGTACTGATGACCTCTTCTCCATAGACTGGCCCTCTCACTGTACTGATGACCTCTTCTCCATAGACTGGCCCTCTCACTGTACTGATGACCTCTTCTCCATAGACTGGCCCTCTCACTGTACTGATGACCCTTCTCCATAGACTGGCCCTCTCACTGTACTGATGACCTCTTCTCCATAGACTGACCTCTCACTGTACTGATGACCTCTTCTCCATAGACTAGCCCTCTCACTGTACTGATGACCTCTTCTCCATAGACTGGCCCTCTCACTGTACTGATGACCTCTACTCCATAGACTGGCCTCTCACTGTACTGATGACCTCTACTCCATAGACTGGCCCTCTCAACTGTACTGCTGGACCTCTACTCCATAGACTGGCCCTCTCACTGTAACTGCTTGAACCTCTAACTCCATAGAACTGGCACCTCTCCACTGTAACCTGATGACCATCCATCCCATAGACTGGCCCTCTCACTGTACTGATGACCTCCTTACTCCCATAGACTGGCCCCACTGGGACCCTCTTCCCATAGGACTGGCCCTCTCACTGACTGATGACCTCTACTCCACTAGACTGGCCCTCTCAACTGGTACTGATGACCTCGTACTCCATAGACTGGCCCTCTCACTGTACTGATATGACTTTCTCTCCATGACTGGCCCTATCACTGGATCCTCTACTCATAGACTGGCCCTCTCACTGTACTGATGACCTCTACTCCATAGACTGGCCCCTCTCACTGTACTGATGACCTCTTCTCCATAGACTGACCCTCTCACTGTATGATGACCCTCTACTCCATAGACTGGCCCTCTCACTGTACTGATGACCTCTCTCCATAGACTGGCCCTCTCACTGTACTGATGACCTCTTCTCCATAGACTGGCCCTCTCACTGTATGATGACCTCTTCTCCATAGACTGGCCCTCTCACTGTACTGATGACCTCTTCTCCATAGACTGGCCCTCTCACTGGTACTGATGACCTCTTCTCCATAGACTGGCCCTCTCACTGTACTGATTGACCTCTTCTCCATAGACTGGCCCTCTCGCTGTACTGATGACCTCTTCTCCATAGACTGGCCCTCTCACTGTACTGATGACCTCTTCTCCATAGACTGGCCCTCTCGCTGTACTGATGACCTCTTCTCCATAGACTGGCCCTCTCACTGTACTGATGACCTCTACTCCATAGACTGGATCCTCTCACTGTCCTGATGACCTCTACTCCATAGACTGGCCCTCTCACTGTACTGATGACCTCTTCTCCATAGACTGGCCCTCTCACTGTACTGATGACCTCTTCTCCATAGACTGGCCCTCTCACTGTCCTGATGACCTCTTCTCCATAGACTGGCCCTCTCACTGTACTGATGACCTCTACTCCATAGACTGGATCCTCTCACTGTCCTGATGACCTCTACTCCATAGACTGGCCCTCTCACTGTACTGAGGACCTCTTCTCCATAGACTGGCCCTCTCACTGTACTGATGACCTCTTCTCCATAGACTGGCCCTCTCACTGTACTGATGACCTCTTCTCCATAGACTGGCCCACTCACTGTACTGATGACCTCTGGCCAGCCTTAGTTGTATGGGTTGTATCCAAGCCCTGTCCACGTAGAACAGCATGCCCCACAGTCCTCCATTGACAGGCCAAAATACACCACGTTCCAAACAAGAGGTAAAACTAGGACGAACACACACACCTAATACCCAGTGGAGTCTAACTCACATGGGACCCTGAAAGGAGCGAACGGAAGGGGGCTACATGTTTGTTTCCAGCGTCACCTAGCTAATGTGTCTCCTTATTCTTTACCCCCCCCCCCCCCCCCCCCCCCACCCCCAATAAATTAATCAGCAGATTTATTTTTAAAACAAGTTGCGCTAGAACTTGATGGACTCTTTAAAAATGCATTGAGCGCCACAGTGGAGCAGCTGCACAAAGCTGAGGCTGGGGTAACAGCAGCAGCAGGAGAAGAGCACATCACTGTGTGAGACACACACACACAGAGAGAGAGAGAGAGAGAGAGAGAGAGAGAGAGGAGAGAGAGAGAGAGAGAGAGAGAGAGAGAGAGAGAGAGAGAGGAGAGAGAGAGAGAGAGAGAGAATGGGAGAGAGAGGGAGGGGGAGGGGGAGGGGGATGAAGAGAGAGAAAGAGAGAGAGATGGAGAGAGAGAGAGAGCAGGAGAGACAGAGGTATTTTTTTAAACATTTTTACATTTTTGTCATTTAGCAAACGCTTTTATCCAGAGCGACTTACAGTTAGTGAGTGCATAATTTTTTATTTTTTATTTTTTATACTAGTCCCCCGTGGGAAACGAACCCACAACCCTGGCGTTGCAAATGCCATGCTCTACCAACTGAGCTACACGGGACCAAGGGTGCAATTAGCACATCGAAGTGAGAAATTCCTGGGTCTTGTGGCAGAAGAGGTGAAAAGGGGAATGGGATATTTCGGGGGGGATAGTCACTACACTTCAGTCCAGGAATAGCCAGGAGAGAGCTATCATCTTTGAGATGTTTTTCAGGGGTGCAGAAACATTGAGGACTGGAGCTGGCCACCCCTGGTCTAAAAGAGCTGACCACCCCTGGTCTAAAGGAGCTGGCCACCCCTGGTCTAAAAGAGCTGGCCACCCCTGGTCTAAAAGAGCTGGCCACCCCTGGTCTAAAAGAGCTGGCCACCCTGGTTTAAAGGTATAAACTCAACAGTATGTGGCAACCCAAAACCCTATAGTTTTTGTTGATAGGCTTAGGTTTATTGAACCATTTCGATGTAATGCACCGAAATGACATCCAGTAAAAAATATGGTGAGGTCTCCCAGTGCATAATGTTGTTACTATGTAACGTTGTTACCATGTAACGTTGTTACCAAGTACGTTGTTACCAAGTAAAGTGTACCATTTTAACGTTGTCCCAAAGTAACGTTGTTACCATGAACGTTGTACCATGGAAAGTTTGTTACCATGTATGGGTTACCATGAACAGTGTTACCTGTAATGTTGTTACCATGATGTTGTTAATGTCTGGTCACAAGTAACGTTGGTACTATGTAACGGTTGTTACCAAGTAACGTTTACCAAGTAACGTTTACCATGTAACGTTGTTATAAGTAAGTTGTACATGTAACGTTGTTACATGTATGGTTTTCACCATGTATGTTGTCACCATGAAAGTTGTTACATGTAACGTTGTTACCATGTAATGTTGTTACCAGGTAACGTTGTTACCATGTAGTTTTATAAGTAACGTTGTTACCAGTAATGTTGTTACCATGTAATTTTGTTTCCATGTAAAAAGTTGTTACCATTAAGTTGTTACCATGTAAGTTGTTACTATGTAACGTTTTTACCATATAATG